TCGCGTCAAAGTCTGAAACAACTAACGATTATCATCAGCGTAGAGATGTTGAAATTTAGGATTTTAAAGCTTTTAATTTAAAAGTTTATATGTGTACTTTAACGCACTTGTCCTTATTGATTGAGCAAAGAGTGCACTTTTGATCGTATTACCTAATACGAAGTAACGCAATCGAAGTGTGATTCCGGTCCACTGTGCGTTTTCAGGCGCGCTCGATAAAACACCCAGGCCTGGAGAAAGTTGGAAGGGTGATTTTCTGATCCTCCTTACCACAAAATGACTCTAAGCGAAAAAATGCCCGCAGGGCGCTGCCAACGCGTGCCAGCGGCCCTGCTAGTAAGGGCGAAAATCAATGTATGTGTATGCGGAGCACACCCCTAGCGCTACGATGGCTCCTTGGAGACACCTGGAGAAACCTCTGCCGGCAGAAGGGTCAGGTCCCTCGCAGACGGCGCGGCACGGCGGGAGCTCAGCGGGTGGCCTAGCCGGAAAGAGGATAAAAATAGCCGACTGGCCCGACCCAGCGAGGGGTGACCGAAGGGTGACCAGGAGTGAATGAGGGAGCATACACGCGGTACCGAGCAGCCGATAACAGCACCGGACGATTAGAAAGTCATAAGTCAATGCTGTATTTTAGGCGTAAGGAAGCATCCATGTAGACGGGCGGACTGTCTCCAGCTCTTCCAAGTATTGCTAATATCTTGCTCTAACGAGCGTTGGCACGTTGGAAGTTTTATCGACCACTGGTTACGTCTTTACATCGCGCTCCTTGCCGTTGATTTTGTTCGATTCGCGTCAAATTTTGTGAGAAGACTAAGAAATGTACAGGCAATCTTATGGTCAAAGAATTTTGAAAATCGGCCGATAACAACTTGAGTTATGAGTGTGTAAACACAAAATTGTGATTGCCGCGTTTCCCGCGGCGGCCGATCCCGCCTCAGCCGGCGACATCTTACGCTTAGCAGGCTTCTAACTGCCATATTTACTGTTGGATTAACTAGAAATTCACTATACATACTCACAAATGTCTGTTCTTTCGTATAGTGAAAGAAAAAAGAAAATCGGCCGGTAACTTTTTGAGTTATTGGCGTGTAAACGCAAAGAAGTCGCTAATATGGCAGATTTGACCACATTTGACCTCATTTGACCTTGAAGATATTGACCTAGGGTCATAAAATTCACACAGAACAGACTTCCCCAGGGCCTCCACCTACCCTCCAATTTTCGTCTTTCTAGCTCCAGTGGGAGCTGAGATCTTAGGGGGGGGCGACATCCGCCCCCCCCCCCTTCCACTGGGCGTAGTACTCGCAACCCTTCCACTGCGCGTGTTAATCGTATATGAAGTTATTCATGGTATTGGTATACCTATGGGGCCATTCCAACGCGTTTCAGGGGGGAAAACATAGGGTTGATTTTTCCCCATTGACTTATAATGGGGAGGTCAAGAAATTGACCTGACCTTAGGTCATCGATGGGTATCAAAATTCCGAGATATACAAATTGTAGCCATCCATGACCTCACAACATCCTATGACTTTCAATGGCCGCCGTCATCTACTGTAGCTCTGACACGGTGACAAATTTGCAAAAAAGTGATTTGATCCTAGGTCATTCGAAGTGACCTGGCGACCTGACCTTGAGAGGTCAGGACATCATGTTTGTCAATTTCGTACAACTTGCATATCATGTGTATAATTAATGAGGGAAAAGTCATGCGAAATTTTGCGGCGCTACGCGCCGCGGTTTTTCCGCTATCACCGAAAAACCTCGGGGGGGGGGGCGATTAACCGCCCCCCCCTCGGTGCGCGGAATTGCTATCGAATGCACTTTTCCGTGGCTCTGTTCCTCTTTGGTTCCCAAGCTATGCGCTGTTTTTTTTAATAAATTGCTGAAATAATGCTTATACTAAGCACTATAAGGAAAATCATGACTTACAGCTTCATTACTTGACCTAATCCTCAAAGTAAGAGTGCAAATATTTTTATCGAAAGTTCTTGAATTTGTTAAGAATAGGACTTTCCAAGTTTCGAGCACTGCTCTTCGTCGGTCTTGCAAGGTAGAAATGATCACACAAAAAACAATGAATGCACAATTCGTCTCAAATCCTTTACTAATGTCACAAGCAATAAATGATTACATGTACTGAACAGTCAGACAATCCGTGACAATATTCCAGGGCTGCGGAGTCGGAGTCGGAGTCGGAGTCGGAGTCGGTCGGAGTCGACAGTTGTGACCGGAGTCGGAGTCGGAGTCGGAGTCGATATTGGAAACCCCAGCCGGAGTCGGAGTCGGAGTCACCGAAAATCTGTCGACTCCGCAGCCCTGCCAGGTGTGCGGAGTCGGAGTCGGGAGTTGGAGTCGATCGGAGTCGACATTTCTGCCCGGAGTCGGAGTCGGAGTCGGAGTTGGTTTTTGAAAGCCGGAGTCGGAGTCGGAGTCGGAGTCGCCGTAAATCCATTGACTCCGCAGCCCTGCAATATTCGATCATGTCTCCAATTCTCCTAATCAGTAAATTTCATCGCTTTATCATGATACATGGTATTAATCAAACGTCTATCCAATGCTAAGATAGCATCAAGAAAAACTGTCAAATTATCACATTATAAAGTTAACCCGCGCCCGGCTGGGGGTCCTGGATTTCCACGCCCTGCTGGGGGGGGGGGGTTGAACACCCCTCTTCTAACTCGGCTCCTGGGCCACGTAGCGATACGCGGAAGGCGGAGTTCGACTTCGAAAGAACGCCAAAAATAATGACGAAATCAATTCGGTCACTTTTTTGGTCAGGTCAGGTCAGGTCAGGTCAGGTCACCAGAGGTCACTGAAGGCAAAGTTTCACCGATTTTCAGGTCGAATGTCGACAATTTCCAAGAAGCCAACGCATAACTCGGGAACCAATAGAGCTGCAGCGCCACGAAAAAGCGCATTCGATAGCCCTATATATTAACGCCCTTTCTAAGCAATACCCTCAGATTTCACCTAACGTTAACGGTTTTGCCTGCAGGGGGCAAAAACTGCCAGAATAGCTGTTTTTTCGGAAACTTTTCTGCAATAACTTTTGATCCAAGCCTTGCACGAGGCTACTTTTACCGACATCGCGTTCCTCTCGTCAAGACGCATCGAATGAACTATTACTTGACTTTGAAAAGACAACATGAAAATTTGACTTCAGGTCAAGGTCATGACCTGACCGAAAATGGTCATGTTGTATATCAGTCGATCGGTATCGTCGAGCTGGACGCATCTAAGGCGTTTTCATCGCTCTCGCATGCCTCTATCAAAATTTATTTGCGAAAAAAAACTGTTAGATACCATTCGTGACCTGGAATTACCTCAGGGGCATGAACAGGGGTCATGGACATCATTTTTATGCTTAGTGTGTCTAAGTTACGTGTAATTCAGTTTTGGGATTGTTTATAATGGAATGGCTTTCCTCCAAAAGCGGCGCATTTCAGTTTTCTCCCATTGAATATATAATATATATATAATTGGGACTGGGAAGGTCGCAAAATTGATCTGACCTTAGGTCATCGATATCAAAATTCTGAGATATAAATTTTGTACATGCTATTGCTGTTAGCAATCGCTGAAGGTTTCAAAACGATCGGTCACTCGGCGTAGCTATGCTAGACATTGAAAGTTGAAACTGTTTATGAGGTGAGGTCACTTCAAGTGACCTGGTGACCTGACCTTGAATGACCTTGCGCGACGCCGTTTTTGAGATATTCACGAAAAACCACAGGGAGGGGGTGTTCAAACGCCATCCCCCAGCAGGTCGCGGGTTAAGATACTCGGTCCCCCTCCCCGCTTTGTGATGGTTCGGAAAACAAAAGTCAGTGAGTCACGGCCCTCCTCACCCCCAACCCGGCCCGGCCCGGTTTGACAGCGACACACGACCGATATAATCAGTCACCAAAAACAAAACACTGTCGATGCTTTCAAACACTGTCTACGGATTGACGCTAGCGTGTTTTGTTTTCGTTAGATCTTTGGGGCATGAGTATCCTCTCTCCCTCCCACCCTCTCTCCGGCTCCCTCCCTCCTCTCTCCTCTTTCTCTGTGTCCCAGCACCAGCACCTCCATCGCCGTGACTAAAAACAGCTCCTAGGTGTGCATATGCGAGTCTCGTTAACCTTGAAATGAGCTACGAGCATGGACCCGGCCGTACCATTAGCACTGCCGGTGGGGCTCCGGGCGTTGGAGAGACTCACTATAACTGATGCAGCATCATGGAATATTCATTATTTTCTATACACTCCACTCTGAGAACCTCGGTCCTTGCATCACAGCTCTCCCGCTTCCCATCTTCTCCATCTGTCTGTCTGTATGTCTGTCTCGTCTCTGTCTCGTTTCTCTCTCTCTCTCTCTCTCTCTCTCTCTCTCTCTCTCTCTCTCTCTCTCTCTCTCTCTCTCTTCACTCTCTTTCTCTCTTTGTTCTTTCGCTCCACCCTTTCCTCTCTTTCTTTTTTTCGCTTTCTCTCTTTCTCTCCCTTTCACCAACCCTTGCGCTCTCTCACACCCTCTATCCTACTCCCTCCTGCCCCCCTCCCCTCCCATTACTGGCCTCTGATGCCACCTCTGCACAGTGCACACTCTGCCTCGGCGACTCCCCTCCTCTGTCTCGGCTCCCCTGCTCTATGTACACGCTCTGCCTCGGTGACTCCCCCGCTCTGTGTCGGCTCCTCTGCTCTACCCGCTCTGCCTGGCGCACCTCCCGTGCTCCCGCTGCTCTACCCCTGTGTCGCCGTGCTGCCTGGCCCCACCTCCTCCCGTGCTCCCCCGCTCTGCCTGGAGTGGCCCCCACCTCCCGTGCTCCCGCCGCTCTGCCGGCGCACCTCCCGTGCTCCCGCGGCGTCTGCCTGCCCCCCACCTCCCGTGCTCCTCGCTCTGCCTGGAGTGGCCCCCACCTCCCGACCTCCCGTGCTCCCGCTCGGCGTCTGCCGGCGCCTGTCGAGGGCGCTGCGCCGGCTCCCAGCCCGCCGTCCGACTCCGACCGGCCGACCGGCAGTCAGTCAGGTGGGAGCCGGCCAGGGAGGAGCACACGCCGAGCAGGAGAGAGCGAGAGAGCGGAGAGAGAGAGAGGGGGCGACTGGTACAGAGCACTCGGAAAGGTGAGGGTGGCAGCGGTGTCCTTTATATGTGTTATACACTGCAGGCAGGTTACAACAGGTGATGAGGATCTGGCTGATTTTACAGAGGTTTGAGCGGTCAAACGGAACGCGATCTTTGCTTCTCATCGTTCGGACCGAGAGAGAGCCTGATCTCATGAGCTACCACATAGGTGTGGTTATATCGCGCCTTGAATTTTCGCTCAAAGTGGTAGTTGACTAGTAAAAGCCGAGCGTCCAAAATACCTACCTAAAAAAATTCACAATTCACGCATGCACAAAATGAGGCACAACCTATGTTACTGTCCATTTCCAATGCATAACATTATCAGCCATCAACAATAGGCTTATTTATTCGTGATTTAGCGCCTTCCGAAGCGGCTGCCATTGCGTAGGCATGTATGTAGGCAGCCTCTCAATGGTGGCCCACTAGACGCCGTACCGACCTAATGGCGCCGAGGAACTGACGATGATTGCTCTCCGCCTTCCCGTGGAGTGCAATATAACCTAACAGGACGGTTCGGCTCCCATGGCTAGGGGGAGAAAGCTCTGCAAGCTGCATGGTCATATATTCTACTATCCAGGTCTTCTCTTTGATGTTGTCATGACCAGTTTCGTTTAGGCTACTCTCGTGTGGAGAACGTCACTGAAGACTGGCCAATCAGCTTCCTTCCGCTCCAATATATATCCTGCGCCGGGCCAAGGGTGTTTGAACACCCTCCTGCGGTTTTTCGCAGATATCTCAAAAACTTTTTTGGCGCACCTGTTAATGCATCTTGTTCGCACATGTTATGAAAATTTCAGGCCCAGGACTTTCAAGCTCAGGTCACCAGGTCACGTCAGGTGACCTCACGTCAGAAATGTTTGAATCCCCATCATAGCTACACCCACCAAACGATCGGCTTGAAATTTTCAGATTGACAAGAGTAACAGTATGTACAAAATGTTAATCTCGGAAATTTGATATCGTTGACCTAAGGTCAGGTCAATTTTGCGACCTCTCCATTACAAGTCAATGGGAGAATATTGAAAAGAGCCTCTTTTGGACGAACGCCATTCCAAACACTCTCTAACATCAATGTACAGGTAAAATTGAGAAGTTGAATCGAAAATAGCACCCGTAACCTCTTTTTATGTCCCTGAGGTCATATCAGGTCATAAAAGGTCTCCAGCAGTTTTGGACAGTAACTTTTGATAGAGACAAGCTAGAGCGATGAAAACACCTCAGATGTGTTCAGCTGGACGATACGAATCGACTAATATGCAACATGACCCTTTCCGGTCAGGTTGTGACCTTGACCTGAGGTAAACTTTTCAAAATGACCTTTCAAGGTCAATTTATAGCCCATTCGATGCGTCTTGACGGGGGTAACACGATGCTGGCAAAGAAATTGTCGTTGTAAAAGCTCCTGTGGCACTGAGGCTGTTGCGACGTTGCGTCGTTTTAGGACTGTAAAGAGGCTCACTTATGACGTTATAGGTCAGTGACCTGTTCTGACCTGAAAATACGGTTGTTGTGACAAGATCCGGCTTGAGTCAAAGGTCAGAGACGTGCTAAGTCTCAGCTCTCTATCAGCAGGGAGTTTTGCGAGAGAAAAAACGTACAGGGCGCGGCACCCCTGCTGCTCGGCCGGCGAGGGTACACATACACACATGGCGATACACATATGCACCGCATGCGTTCTTATTTACCTGTTTGGCTCGCGTCACACAGAGTTTTGTAAAATATCGTGTAGATTAAAGGCTCGTTTCGCAGTCCAAATATAGGACGTACCATAAACATTATCGTACCATAAACCACCTACATAGTCTGATAAAAAGTCGAGGGCCCGCCGGGCTAAGACTGCATACGGGCTCGGAGATAGGTACTTACAAACACCGTCCGGCGTACAGGAATGGAGACCGTGGTCTCCATTTCTTACCGTCTTTTGGGCAAACATCCAATGGTGCAACAATTGGTAGGCATGTTGAATGTTGATGTGTGTTTATTCACGTGTGATGCAGTCAGAGTTGCGGAGTTGAGCCTGTGATCGAGATCTTTGACATTATTTACATAGGGTCATTAGTGCGTTTATAATCAGTTCCAGCGTTACGGCCAGTAAGTTTTGTGTGTTGATGGCAACTGATAGTTACTAATCAGTTACTATCAGTGTTGTTATCAATGATATATGTACGATCAGTTGCTAAGTACCATCAGTTATGGAACTACTATCAGTTTTGCAGTTGCGAATAGTTACGAAAGTAGGTACGATCGGCTACAAAGTTAGTATAATCATTTGTGTAGACAGCCATTTGTGTTATATCACGGTCAGCTGTGGAGTAACGGATGGTTCTGTAGCTTAAGTTGGCTGTGGAGTGGCGTTTGTTTTTCTGCGTAGTAGTTTGTTAATTCCGCAAATATGCTGACTTGCTGAAACATATAAATGAGTTATAATTGGTGATCGCTCATATGTAGTTCACGCCTCATGACTGCCGACTGCCGCGACGTTTTGGACGAGGTGTGTTTTATTTGCCGTAGTATTTTGCTATTTGTTGCCACTCCATGGTGCACCACCTGCGACTATTCGTGCCCTCTCGCACGTATTGGTGTCTTGCCAGCCGTATCGCACGTATATCACCTTGCCGTTTCGCCCCTGGTCGAGCTAGAGCTTCGCAGAATAAAACGAGCCCGCTGCTCGTGATGAGAGAAAGCCAATGATACCCCATCTTAACCCGCGCATGACTGGGGTATTTTCCATAACGCGAGTGACGGGGGGGGGGGGGGACTCTCCAGAGCCCCGCTCCTATCTATGTACGAAACTACTGGGCCGATCGTCAAAATTCAAACGGCGTCTAATAGCCCTGGAGAAACTGTCGAGCGAAACCTATTTTCATTGACCTCGAGGTCACCGATGACGTCACAGGTCAGGTCAAAGTAAAAACTATTAGCATTTTGGCTTGTTCACATTTTGGGCTCTAGCCGCCGTCTTACAAGTCAGATCAGGCTCATTTTTTGTTTACACACTTGTGAACAGATGCTTTAGATACCCTGAGGGTACCAAACTTGTACTTTGATTTTCAGGTCAGGGTCAGGTCATCACAGGTCACGGAAATATTATATCATGCGTCGGTCACGTGACACATGTTTTATGGTCAATTTAGGCCATATATTTCGAAGTTGATGTCGTCTGAGTCATTTGAGGTCATTTTGAGTCGAATTCAGCTTAGGTCAGGTCACTTTCAGGTCAAAAAAGGTCAAATTTTGAAGTTAAAATTTTTCAACAAAAAAGGTGTCCATTTATGCAATTTGAGCTCAGGAACACGATGGTGCTATTTATATTGGCGTACGATAACAAATACGTACTGAAAATTGGTTTGAAAAATTAATAATTGTGAATTTTTTGCAATAATGCGTATAACTTGGTCATTTTTTAAGATATTTAGCTAAAACTTGCTAGAGTAAGTCATAAGCATGCGTTCTTTCACATATATTCCAATTTTTTTGGTAAAGTCAAAAACTTTTTGAAAAAAATATAAAAATATAAATTTTGAATTTTGTTTTATAAATTTTTCATAATTTTCAACATTTTGAAAATCCGAGATAGCAGTCTGATAGCGCAGTCCATCATGAGTCTTTTCCTGCAAAGAAAATGGATCTAGCTTAAAAACTGAGCTCTTGGGAGCGATTGCCGTGCTTCAATGTTTTGCGTCGAAATCGGCCGAACATGACGTCACTCTGACGTCATTTCCGGCCGACCTATGGTAGCTACGAAATTCATATTTTGACACAAAGTGTCAAATTGATGCAGCCGAAGGTACTGAAAGTTTGGCGTCGATACGTCAAGCGGTTTAGAAGTTATTGCAGAAAAGCGGGACGCCCAGTGGGGCGCGGGTTAAATCTTTTACTAAAACGTTTTGTAGCACGCGGTGGTATATGCTGCTTTGCGCGCGACAATTGCCGCACTTTCAGCTGCCAAAACTATTGCTTCCAAATAAAGTCGCTAGGAACAGCGGAGATCCCAAAAAGTAAACAAAAGTAAAAGTCTAATGTCTTGAAAACCGGTAAATATATTTCAGTGAAATTTGGTAGATATTCGTTTTCGCTCTTTCTGAATAGAGCGACATCACTTTCACGCTAATTCATTAACTTCTTGAAGGTTGGAGGGTCCCTTGAAATGCAATCAATCGAAGACGAAATGATTTTTAGTTTTGTGATGTCATCTGCATAGACTGTGCCTTTCGGGATAACTCTTTTGCTGTGTATTTCAAAATTTCTGCAAAATTGAAATTATGAAAGTATTTCATTATTTTGCCAACATCCGCCAACACCTGTTATCGCTGTAATACGATCTCACACTTTATGAACTGCCCAACACCACCCAGACTAGCCAGTCATCACACTGATAACATAACTAACATAAACAAACCACCTGACCCCAGAGGGAGCGATCAGCAGACGCTGGACAGACCGCAGTGTGATGGATTACACCCGGATCCGGGGGCGGCATCTGGCCCCCAGCGGCGCTAATTCCTAAACACAGCCGGCCGGGGTGGTGTAACACCAGTACACCGTGTACTGGTGTATGGGGGGCGCGGCGGGGCCGCCGGCGGCGACCTTTGACCTGCCGGCCCGCCTGGGTCGTGTCGCCGTCGCGTGGCGCCGAGTTATGGCGGCGTCTGTGCTGTCTCAGAGGGGTGTGTACTGTGTTCTGTGTACGGCAGAGTAGGTCCGGGTGGTGTCGGAAACATGACGGCGTGTGTTGATACAGCCTCCATGTCAGCGGTCGCCTGCTGTTCTTGTGCCTAATTATGCGAATAATGATTATGAATGGTATTTAACTAGCCAATGCTACATTCGTTTCAATCTTTTCTGTGCAAATGCTTTTTCGCCGCCAGTGCTTCGAAAGCCCAGAAATATTTAGAAACAGATGAAATAAACAAATAAGCACAGTCTGAGGTCGCCCCTTTTCCTAGTCTTCACTATTCATGCTTCCATCGCCTTATGCATTTTAGCGCCCTGTCGG